TATTATTGATTTAGACAAAAATCATGTAATTTTTCTTTAAACATGGGTACCAATCGAAAATTTTCTATATGTATTTTTATATTTCTCATATTAAGAATATTTTTGCAATTAATTTTGTGTATATGTTTCAAGTTTTTAATCTTTTCTAATATGGGGAGATTTTGCAATTGTAGATTACAAGATTGTTATTTATGGAAATTTTATTAAAGCATTCAAAATTAATGTTGAATGAGATGGAATGTATCAAACTATCAATAATAATTGTGTTACTAAAAACATTCATTATTATTTTAATACGTAATTTTATTCCAGTGGAATGTAAGGAGGTTCCATTTCCGTATGATATATAATGTGTCAACTCATTTCGAATGTGTCACCACTTTAATAATTTTAGCCCTTATATACTAAGTCGATGGTAACATAGTAACTCATTTCGAATGTGTCAACTCATTACAATGCAACTAACAACCAATGCCAGAAACCCATGTTACCCAACTTGGGATTTCATCATAAACTTAAAATTATTATGTTATAACAAGATAAACTTAAATACTAAATACTTAAAGAAAAATCAGCAACACGACAAATGAACATAAACCATAATCATCACCAAAATTATTGTAAACCAAACAAAAAAACATTTCTATAATAAAGGCTTTCCAGGTGGAACAACCAAAAGACAATGTTTCTTGGTGACCAACAATTGAGATTTGAGAGGATAAAGAGGGCCAATGATGAAGTACGGATCTTATAGGAAAAACCTAGAGGGGCATCAAAGGTATGTAATTATTTAAATATTTTTCATTAATTTTGTTCTAAAACCATATAAAGTAAGTAGAATAACATCTGGTAAAGACTGTCTTGGTCTATGTCTTGATAAAAAAAAAATACATACATACATACCATACATACAATACAAATACAATATAAGCCATGTACACATTGCAGCTTTTTGCATGATTTCGAAAAGCATAATCCTACAACGATTCCACCCAATAAAGGCTTATGACATCCAAAAAAAAAAATGGTTGAAAATTAAGTTTTCGACTTTATATATTTGCGTGAACGACTATGTCTTCTTTTGTAACTTTTATCTATAAAGGCAATATATATTCAATGAATAATGACTATTATAATTATTATGTAGACTTATACGTATTATATAAAGAGCCGTTCAACTATCAAAAGCTTCATTTTTAGCTAGCCTTCTCTTACATATATTTAAATTACTAAATACCTTATATGGGCACCTAATAAAATTTTAGTCCGAATTCATTTAAACTAATTTAACTTTGTACCAAGGTTCCTACCAGGGTTCTCAATATCAAGGTTTTATATCTTTGTTTTACGTTTTACAGAGTCGTTATCATATGATTGGAACGAGATCAGAATATCATACCAAAATAAAGTTGCCTCCAAATTTTCTCACAAGGTCTTGTTTGCGTATTTTCCAAAAAAATTCCCCAAAAATACAAACCTTTTGTCCTTTGTACCAAAACGGTAGATATTATGAAAGTATAGGGTCATAAGTGTAACATATCTCTACTTAGTTGTTCCTTGGATACATGGGGGAAAGAGGGTGGTATCATGAAGTTAGTTCAAAATATGTTAGACAATCCTGAGGTTGGAGCTATGAGACAAGGTGGAGGCATCCTTCAGAAGGAGGCTATATCAAGTAACACCAACATCAAGCAATGCCTCCGTAAGGTTGCAGATAGTCATTTTACCGCAATAGTGAAAGTGTTATGCTCATCGGGTGTTGCACCATATAATGGTAATACTATTAAAGCTTTGGAGGACAAACACCCTTTCAGACCACCCCCATCCATGCCGAGCCCTATAATTTCTGAACCTCCCCTTGTAGCCGACTTTGATTGGGTATGTAGTTGCATCAAATCCTTCCCTGAAGGAACTTCTTGCGGGAGAGATGGCTTGAGGGATCAACACTTACTAGACGCCCTTTGTGGAGAAGGGTCTGCTATTGCCACATATCTCATACATGCTATCACTTCAGTTGTTAATTTATGGTGAGAGGGAAGATGTCCAACCATTTTGGCAGAGTTTGTTGCATCCGCTCCTCTCACGTCTCTACTTAAACCTAACAACGGAATCTGTCCGATTGTAGTAGGCACTATATAGAGACGTCTGGTTTCCAAGGTTGTCATGAAAGGTGTGGGTAAAGAAATGGCCAAGTACCTTAATGATTTTCAGTTTGGGGTTGGTGTATCTGGCGGTGCTGAGGCTGTGTTACACAGTGCCAATAGGGTGTTGAGTGAACTCCATGCTGATGGGTCTCTTCTAATGATGATTGTGGATTTTTCGAATGCCTTTAACCTGGTGGATCGTTCAGCATTGCTCCACGAGGTTAAGAAGATGTGCCCTTCCATTTCTTTGTGGGTGAATTTCTTGTATGGGCAAGCAGCGAGACTTTATATCGGAGACCAATATATATGGTCTGCCACTGGGGTGCAGCAAGGTGACCCCTTGGGCCCTCTTCTTTTTGCCCTTGTTTTGCACCTGCTTGTGCACAAGATTAGATACAATTGTAAGCTCCTTCTCCATGCTTGGTACCTAGATGATGGGACTGTCATTGGGGATTCAGGGGAGGTGGCTAGAGTGTTGAACATAATTCGATTGCATGGTCCAGGTTTGGGTCTCGAGTTGAACATCAAGAAAGCGGAGATTTTTTGGCCCTCATGTGATGGTAGGAAGCTTCGGGCTGATTTATTCCCTACGGAGATAGGGAGACCTTCTTTGGGGGTGAAACTCCTTGGGGGGGGGGGGGGGCTGTTAGCAGAGATGCAGGTTTTATTAGTGGACTGGCCATGAAAAGAGCCGTCAATGCTATTGATTTGATGGGCCTTCTTCCACAAATATGTGACCCACAGAGTGAGCTCCTTTTGCTTCAATCATGTATGGGCATTGCAAAACTATTCTTTGGTTTAAGAACATGTCAGCCGGTACACATAGAAGAGGCAGCGTTATTCTTTGACAAGGGATTGCGCAGGTCTATCGAGGATATGGTGGTATGTGGAGGCCCCTTCTTTGGAGACATTCAGTGGCGCTTGGCTTCCTTACCTATTCGTTTTGGTGGTTTGGTTTTGTACTCGGCCTACGAGGTTTCCTCCTACGCATTTGTAGCCTCGAGGGCCCAATCTTGGGCATTACAAGACCACATCTTACGTGACAGTGACATATGTGGTATGGACTCGGATTATCTATGTGCTATGACTCGTCTCCGTGACACAATTCCAGGATCTGACAGTAGCGGTTTCACTAATAAGGAAACCGCCCCCCCTAAATCCCAAAAAGTTTTGGCGTGTGCCCTTTTTAGCAAAATCGTCCAAGATATGGAAGTCAACTTCGAGATGACTGTCAGACAGAAAGCAGTCTTTGAGTGTCTGCGGGCGCCTCATGCTCAAGATTTTCTGCTAACTATCCCTATTGATGGTCTTGGCCAGCATATATCTCCTGTGGAGTACCGAACTATCCTTCGTTACTGCCTCATGATTCCCATATTCCCAATTGACGAGATATGCCCATTTTGTCGCAAGGCATGTTTGGATACCTTTGGGGAACACGCGGTTCATTGTAGAGAGCTCCCTGGTTTCAAGTATAGACATGATGTGGTTCGGGATGTTCTCTTTGATGCTTGTCGGCGTGCTGGTATATCTGTGAAGAAAGAAGCGCCAGTGAACTTTTTGACGGACCCGCAGGATGGCAGGTCCACACTTAGACCGGCTGACATTTTGGTCTTTGGATGGATAGGAGGGAAGCATGCGTGCGTGGATCTTACTGGTGTATCTCCTCTCGTTGTTTTAGGGAGCGGAGGTTTCGCAGCTGGGCATGCCGCTTTGAAAGTCGCTGCGTGCAAAGTGGTAAAGCACGACAATGCATGTAGAGAAAATCAACATGTGTTTGTTCCTTTTGCATTCGATACATTTGGTTTTCTCGCACCAGAGGCGGTGGGGCTCCTCAACAGAGTCCAACGGGTCATGCATTCTAATGTCATATCTCCTAGATCCACAAATGTTGTTTTCAAAAGAATAGGTTTTGCCATCCAAAAAGGACTAGTGGCGCAGCTTGTTGCCCGTTTGCCTTCAATCGATATGTATTGAATTCATGTTCAATTATTTTATATCATATTTTGTAACCGTGTGCAACAAAAGAGATGGAGCAAATGGTTACAACTTGTAATAAGAAGTGTGTTTGTTTTTAACATCTATAGACTGCTGCACTGGAAAAAAATTCCTGATTTACCAACTTAAAATAGTTTTTCAACACCAAAATTTTAATAATTCTAGTTTTACAATATTGAAATAAAATTCATGCAACCAAATTATTCTTGCAATAAGAATTTTAGTCTTACAATAACAATTTCATTTAAAATAATTCATTCTTATTAATGAAAAAATTATATATGATTTACAAGTCTACAAAAAGTCATCTATTCTCGTAAATTTGAAAATTTCTCAGTTTGTGTAATCTCCACTGATCAAATACATGGAATTACTTAGAACATATTTCGCTCTTTCTCATCATTTTAATGGTATCAACAATGGTAGAGCTATCTGTCCCAAAAAAAAACAAGTGAAGCTTAACTACAAAAAGGTATGTATTCTCATAAACCAATGTAACATGTAAATGCATCAACAAAACCATTTAATCACAACTCTTATAATTTGTCCTCTTAAGATAATGCTTATTGTTTTAGTAAAAGATGGAAAACCAGATAACAACATAGAAAATACATGTTAATAGATGTGTTTAGTATCCTGTAAAATTTTGTTGGTGTTAAGCGATAGATAGATTCAAATTGACAAAGACGACCTCATCGTGTGTTTGACTTTGGGGTCGTTTGATTTAGCTTCTAACCGAGTCCAAAAGGGGGATCGGGTCCAAAAGACATAATTCAACATGTTTGATATTGTTTTTAAAGTCATGGACTCGGTCCAAGATATGGATTCGGTCCAACATAATTCACTGATTCGGTCCCCTCTTCAAATGAGAAGGATTGTGACAAAAAAAATTATCAACGCCTTCAATTCCAAATTTGCCCTACTGAACACGCATCCAAAGAAGAAAAACGATCCATGTCCCCTTCTCTCCCCGCTAACGACGACCACCCAAAGTCTGTCATCTTTCTCCGACCTAGCAACCGGAGATCTGTCATCTGTTTTCATCCAGGTGCGACATAATCTGTGTCCCTCCTCCCTCTTCCTCCCAACGATTCTGTCATCCCCTTCCAGCGCTGCATCCCTGAGCTCTGTCTCCTTCCAATTGAGAGTTGTTCCAATTTTAACCCTAATCACTTCCACCTCCATTGTCCCTGGTGAACGACTTGCACCATCGATTCCTTCCTGACAGTCTGCCACTACCCATCCGCCAACGCTTTCCTCCTTTGGTGTCGACCGTCCCTGCACCTTCGACTGTAGGGTCTATTACTCCTCAGATAAATCAGATTAGCTACTTGTTGCTTTTTTTCTTTTTCAAAATAGTTATGAATTTGTTTATTCATTGCTTTCTCGAAACTGAAAATCAAAAATTACCATTTATGTTATTGGAAAATTCATATTTTGACATTTTCTTCTAATTGAGCCAGTTGTTCATTTTCTTATGGTATTCACTGCTTACATATGTTTCACTCCATGTAACTGTATCAAGTGAATTGCTTGTTGAGTATGGGTCATCTATGGAAAATTTCCTGTAATTTAAGTTCTTATTGTAAGTTCACTCAAATGTGTTCATCAGATTAATGGCAATGCTCTTCACATCTAACTTTAATTGGTATGTGTTTGGTTATAAATGCAAAACTTTAATCCTTCATGAGAACTAGTGTGCATTTTGTTAATTTTTGGATTATTGAATGAGTAATGTGGAAATATGGATTACGTTCCTTTTAGTAGGGTTGTGTTGTGTTTGAAGTTTGATATATATATATATATATATATATATATATATATATATATATATATTGTTCTAGTTAAATTTTATTAAATACTAGTTAAAGTTTTATAAAGTTTAATGAAACCTTGAAGCATGGGTATTTTAGGCATAAAAGTCATATATATTTGTTCGTTTTGTTGTTTCCTTAATGAGCAAGAGTATTTTGGGTACAATAATATTATTATGTGTATGGTTCTAAATGTTGAATTGTTTGACCTTAGCCATTAACCCAATGAATTATTATAAAAAAATATTTTTTTGAGGGTAATATAGTCTTTTTACATGGCCAATTAGATGCAAAATCAAACAACAAGTTTCGGTCAGAAATCAACTCAGTCAGAACTTCTAACCCAATCAGCTTCTAACCCAGTCAATTCTAACCTAGTTAATAAGTATCAAACGAGCCCTTTGTAGTGAAAGCATACAGTGCACATCAACATCTGCACTTGTAATTTTGTTAATAAAAGAACTCTTTCCAACATTCGGATACCCACAAATCAAGATTGTTCTAGTGTTTGGGTTAATGGAAGGAAGCATGCCCATATGCTGTCTAGTTTGTTCAAAATAAGCCAACCTATGGCTAATTCTCTGTGCACATTCTACTAAGGGTACCCTTGTGATTTTATTGAAATTATACTTCACCAACACAAGTCATTATATCAGAAATCTCATAATACCAATTAAATACAAAAGTGGTGAAACTCTAGTTGCAAACTTGACAATAATATTTTTTAACTAAAATTAAATTAATCTGTTCTTTAAATACATTTTTCAAGACAAGTAAATGGAAAAATCCACATAGAGTTAAGACGGTTTTATTGATAGATACAAGAAGGATTAATAAAGGTTAATGTCAATTTAGCTCTATAAACTTTTCCCATTTATTTTAAAAGGTTCCTAATGTTTTTTTTTTTTGGCTTTTTATGTTATAATGTGAAGTTTGTCGGGTTTAAAAAGTCTTTTTGGAAATTTTGAAGGGGTAAATTGGTTACCCTAGCCATGTAGGATCCACATAGATTTTTCAGTAAAAAACAAAGTCAAAATTGATGAAAATACCAAGTTGAATAATGGTCTAAACACTTTCAATAAAAGCTCTTCCATCATTAATGGCAGCTTTCAGCTTCTCCCACAACTGCTACTGGCCAACATTCCAACAACGCTACCAAGATACCACTATGTTCCCTCCACCACCGGAGCTCTTAATTTTCCATGACAACTTAACCTTTTCTGATATTTGCATCAACAACCCATTGTTATTGGAGTCGAACCATCAGTTCTCAAGCTTCAACGATGGAGTCACCACCACCAACCTCTCAAAAGTATATATATATATATATATATATATATATATATATATATATATATATATAAGTAGGATTGTGATTTCTCTTTTAGAAATCGACTGGACGTAAGTTGTCAAGATCTAGTGTGCTTTATGTGAAGCCCTTTTCTCCGCTTCAAATCCATCCAGAACAACATCGAATCATCTCAAAAGAGGAACTTATCCCAATTTCAACTTTGAATCCATAGCCCAAACCTAATTTCCTCTAAAGAGCTCCCATTGCTATTACATTTTTCTGACATTAAAGAGTTCATATCCTCGTTTTACCATCATATTGAGATTCAAACCAACCAAAAAGGAGAAAAAGAAAGAGATCGAGTTCCAAAACAAACCGATCAAGGTTCAATCCATTGTATTTCTTGTTTTTTGTTAAATCCTTTGTGTCACCTCCACCAGGTGTTCAAAATCCGATGATTGTTGCTACAGACTACTGAGGGAGAAATATAATTAGGGGGAGAGAGGGAAATACATACTATGTTCTTCCTCATCACACTGAATCTAGGGCTTCTTAGTGATCGAACAATTAGCATGTAGGTTTGTTGTCTGTCTACTGTTACTTTTGCACATTGTCAGAGCGGTGGAGGTAGTGGTGATAATGGTGGCCACATGGAAGAATGCACTGACCAAGCAAAAGACGACACGTAAGTGATGGAGAAAGCGACAAGAGGGAAAATGAATTGGAAAAGACGATGCTTTTCTACGTACGACGTAACCTAAAAAAGCCACATGGATTAGTTTTTAAATTTTAATTTCTTTTAAAAATATAATCATGCCAGATAGACTAATTATTATTATTACTAACGTTGGGGAGTGGACAACCGCTTCATGAATTTCAGCCCTTCGATCTTCTTTCAATGGAATCCTGATAGTAATAACTCAATATTTATAGTTCCTTCTTCTCCCCCACGTTCCTCACAATCGTCGGTTGTATCCTCCTACAACCATTCAATCGGTTTCTCAACCTCCTTCCAATAGTGATTCAGTTACCATAAACTTCTTTCAATCATGATCGATTCCATGCCTATTTACTGTGTCTTCTTCGAAAAACAATTCTCTTCATCGGTTGAAGCCGACGACTTTCCCACCTTTCATGATTCCTCCGCTTCTTCTTCCCCACGATATTTACTTGCGATGTTTTTCCATATATAAGGCTGATTCCAATATCTGCAATTTAACTTTACTTCATTCGGGATGAAGACTAATGTCTTCTAAAATTGAAGATAAGGCAGATGTTCGGTCCATCAATCTAGCGTTTGTATATCATCAATCATAAAGGAAATTAGCTCTAGAATAGAATCAGAAGCATCGAGAATCAGGAACGTTAGTTCATAACCCTCTTCGTACCTCTGAAATTGAAGAAAACAAAAAACATCAATCACCAGGTTCGCTTAATCACAGAAAAAAAAATTTACCCAATTGGAGAAAGCAATTTAACACCAAATTAACCGAATGGTGAAATTGGGAATTCATCAGAACTACAATTGCTATTCCAAAGTTATTTGAAGCAAACGAGTATTCTAAATTGCTCTTAGTATTTAAAAAACTGTTCCTTCATTATAAATTAACGAATTTTTGTTTTTGTTTCTTGTTTTATAGAGGTATTATCCATGGATAACATAAGGTCGTGAAAGAAATTCAGTACATTGCTAGATTGAATTTAAACTTCCATTGTATTGGAGGTAAAAACCTAGATATCATCATCTATTTCTATTTTGATAATTAATATTTCATGTTCAATTTTTGTTATCCGCTGTTTTGAATCGTTTCCTAATGCAGGGTGGTGACCCGAAGACCGAGTATCGTCAGGATTAGGGCCTTTGAGGGAAAGATATTTAGACCCATTTTGGGTCTGGGTAATGTAATTCGGATGATCCGGGAGTTTAGTTTGTATTTTAGATCCAAGGGGTATTTCAGTAAAGTGTCACTTCGGGCTTTTATGGGAATTTGATTTTTTTTCGGGAAGTTTTAAGGTAATTATGAGTTGATAGAAGTGTAGAGTTTCTCATTACCTCTTCGTGGAATTATGGATCGTTGGAAACAGACTTATAACGAAGAAGTTATGACCTTCGAAAGTTTGGTGATTTTAGGGTTTAATCGAGTATGTGGGGCGTAAACATGTTTACGCACGGTGTACTAGGGAGAAGTTCAGTACGTTGGGCGTACAATGGTGTACGCTAGGTGTACTAAGTAGTGTGGCCGCGGGTGCTCTAGGGAGTACGCTGGGCGTTCCAAAAGTATGTTGGACGTACCCTAGTCAGACCCAAACCCTAATTTAGGGTCTTGGACCCTATTTAAGCACCTTAAATCATCACCAAACCCTATTATCTTTAGCCTCCATCCCTCTATACCCTAGAAAAGAAACCCTATCCCCCATTTGAGTGGTTTTTTGAGCGTTTGGTGGTATTTCAAGCATTTTGGTGATATTTAAAGAAGAATGAGCTTCTTGGAAAAGCGTGGGATTGCTTGGAGCTTTTGGATCCAGCCTTTATTATAACGCTCGTAGATTCGGGCTAGTCAACTTAGAGATAATAGGGGTCAAAAATGACTTTTTGACAAAATATTATTTAGAATAAATAATCTTAACCAATTTGTAGAATATGTCTCAAGGGTTCCGTACATATAAAGAACGCCGAAATCCGGGTTATAACGAAGAAGTTATGGCCCGTCGAAGTTTTAAGGCAAAACCGGCACGACACCGGGAGACGTAAATAGTGAATTTTTGATAAAAGACTTTTTAGCCTTAGTGATCTAAACAAAATTTGTAGTATACGTTAAACCGAGACCGTCCATAAGAAGACGCCCAAATCTGACTTCGTATGAGAAAGTTATGATTTTTCTAAGATTTAGCATAGCAGTGCACGACCCGAATCTCGAATTTTAGTTCGAGCGGTTTTAGGCCTATGAGACCTAAATTAGAGTTTAAGATCTCATTAATAGGAACTCAATGATAAAAAGACAGATGAAAACGAAGTCCGTATGTAGAAGTTATGAATTTTACGCAGACATTTAACAGTACAATCTCCTCCTACTGTTAAATTTAAGATTAGACAAGAATTAGCCAATGGAGTCTAAATAAAAGTTTTAGATATTGTTTTTACTTACGCGTGGATATAAAGAACGTTGAAAACGGAGCTCGTATGCGAAAGTTACGGGGTTTAGAAGTCGACAGGGTGTTGTGCGAAATTGGGTGACGTGGTTGAATATGGGCCAAGGCTTTCTCCCTAAGGCAAGCCTCCAAAAGGTGACATGTGGCATGGAATCGAC